TCCTCACCAGCCACTTCTTCTGTGGCACTTCCTCTCTCACCCTAACCACTTACAGTTAGGTCAAAACATCTGTGACCGCCTGAGGCCAGGTCTTCAGGGACCAGCTGTAGGCTCAGGAGTCTGCACAACTCCCTGCACTTCAGACCAGCCAGCTCTCTCTCTTCCTCTAGCTCCCTGGGGCTAGGTCACAAGCTAGAAGGACTCTGTCCTTCATTGACTTCAAGATGCAGCCTTTCCCTATCACCCAGCTACCCAAAGCTGGTTCCTCACAAGTCAGGACTCCGTCCCCATGACTGCCTGGAGCCCTCCTCTGCATTAGCCACCTGAGCTAAGTCAGAGTCTCAGTGCCCTTGTAGTTTGTTAATTCTCTGTGGCTCACAAAATTCAGTGACTATTACCTATATTTACAGTTACCCATTTATTATAACCAGAAAGGATACAAGCAAAGAGACATATCAGGCAAGCTCTGGGGAGAGTTCATGGCATGGGGGCCTCCACTGTCCCCAAGGACATGCCACCCTCTCCCATCCATGGATGTCCTCACCAATCCAGGGGGCTACAAAAGAGAGAGTTCCAAGGTTCAGGGTCCCCTTCATTGAGACCTCAATGAATACGCATGACTGGGGCTTTAATGTATAGTTAAGATCAACCTGATCAATGAATGTGCATGATTGACTGAATCATGCCCCCTCCCTTCCTGAGGTCAGCTGGCAGGTATGAGGAGGTGTGAGGCCGTGTAGCCCCTACTTGCCTGGCTATTTTAGAAAAACAAAAGAGCACCTTAATTGCTTGGGTTATTTTCAGAAACCAGACACAAAAGGCCAAATCTAGTTCTTTGTCCCATACCACCTTAGAATCCCTGTGGGTGTTGGGGGGCCTGCCAGGGTAGGACGTCAGTAAACAAATCAATAAAAACTGAATGTTGGTCAGTGACTGTAGGCCCATGCCTGCCCTAAGGACTGATCTGGAAGACTTGTGGCATGGCTCTCCTGTCACAGCAGGAGGCACAGGGAGGGCTGAGGTGCTCCCCAAGGAGGGGGCTGACCTCTGGCACTGCCTTGCTGAGTGAAGGTCAGGCATGTCTGACCACCCCCAGCAGCAGCCTGGCCTCCCCTAGGTGCCTCCTAGCTCCAGGGCAACACTGCAGAGAGGTGGCCAAGTGCAGAGTCTGTGCCTGCCACAGGCCCCCAAGTGTCCCCTCCTCAACAAGGCCTTACAGGCAAGATCCTTCAGGAAACCCCTTCTTCTAGGTCATCTTAACTTAAGGAGAGATTTTTCGCTGTAAGAGCACAAGGTGGGGAGACTCTGTGGCAGGGCCTGTCTCAGAAAGTACTAGTAGTTTGGCCACAACGCACAAAGTTACAATGTCCACAAGACTTGAAGCTCCATGAGGTAAAGCGTGTGTGTGCTTTTGCTCACCACTGTCTTGCCAGTACCAGGCACAGGGTCGCCCCACAGAGGACGAATGAATGAAGGCATGAACTGGCGTGGGGTTCCACGCCCAGTGGTGAGGCAAGTGTCCCTTACGTGAGCACGTCTGGGGAATGAAAACATTCCCACTCGCCTTAGTGGAGTTCTCAGACCCCTGGGAGGGTCTACTGGAAACAGGACACCAGGTTCTGCTAGGAGGAAGCAGCCTCACAACTTCTGTTCACAGGTTCAGATTCTGGTTCAAGGTTTCATCTCCCTCCCCTCCCATTTGAGAGAGGAAAAAAAAGTGTGTAACAAAGGTCGTTGGCTCTCCAGGAAATCTTAGGAGATTGGGAAGGGTCCAGCATACCGACTGGCAAATTTTATATTAAACCCCAGCTCCCTCCACCCTTTTCAGTCCAAGCCTGATCACCACACTGAAGAAAGTCCTTATGGCCAACGTGGGACAAGCCAGACACCCTGCCCCCAGCACACCATCACAACCTGGAATCTCAGGCACCAGCAAGCCAGCCCAGGTCAGGCACTTCCAGGGCATTTCATGTGCTGTTTCTCCCTCATTGTTTAATATGGGCCAGAGTGGGCTGGAGTTCCTAAGGTTCAGAAAGAACTCTGGCATAGTCGCATAAGCCAAGCCCTCTGGTTAGACCCTTCAAAAGCAAGGAATCCAATGTTGCAAGCCAGGTCTCTCAGGACCTTGGCCAGGTACGTGAGAGGAGTCTATAGAACAGGAGAGAAGGCCAGAGTGGACATCACTGCTGCCCTGCCTGGCCTCACCCCACCCTTCTGGGGGTGGCCCACCTCTGCCCAGCTGCTGGGATTGTTTCCTGGCCTGTGTCACCCACGTCTCGGAAACCAGAGCCAGCTATAGAAGCACCTTCCCCTACTGGTGGCCTGTGGAGTGAATTCCATTTGACCCTCACTAGGGAAAGTTTACAGGCAGAATTTTTGAGAACACAGACTTACAGACTTACAACAAGCTGCAGGGTTTAAGCAGTCTCATGCCCATTTTACAGATGGGAAAGCTGAAGGTTCAAAAGACACAGGATTTGCCCACGGTCACAAAGACAGAACCCAGACCTGATTTGAAAGCCTTGGGCTTTCTATTTGCCACACTGCCCCTAATGTCAACTTCTTTTTGTAATAAACTTAACTCGTACTTTATCAGTTCAGTAACTCTGGAGTTTAGAATCCTGGATATTCTTAAACAGGGGTGCACATAAACGTGATCACACACGTTTGACTCAACCCAACTGAGTCTCCTTCACTGAATCACAGATTTAGGGTGGCAAGAGCCCTCAGAGATCCACTCCAACCTCCTTACCTTGCAGACAAGGTGGCTGAGGCCTACAGGGTGAAGTGATTCACCCAAACTTGTTGGTGGCAACCCCAGGGAACTAGCTCTATGGGTCTTGCTTCTTCAGAGGAGTAGAGTGAACCAAAAGGTTGAAGGTTCGAATCCACCTAGAGGCACTCAGAAGAAAGGCCTGGCAATCTACTTCTGAAAAATCACCCCCTGAAAACCCTATGGGGCACAGTTCTACTCTGCCACACAGGGGGTTGCCATGAGTCAGAATCGACTTGATGGCTACTAGTAGAATGAGCCTGAATCCATATCACATCACAGTGGAGAGAACATGGAGCTGGGTTTAGCTCCCGTTTCCACTGCAAACCCCCATCAGGCCTCAGGATGGGTTTCCAGCTGCCAGATGAACATCCAGATAAACACCCAGGAGCTCAGAAGGGAAGCCACTGAATAAACCAGCTCAGAAACCAAAATAGCTAAATGTTTAGGGGTGTCACGATGCCGCACTATCACCAAAAAGAGCAAGGGCCTTTGGAAGTCAGGGTATCTGGAGGACACAGTGCCATTTCCAGAGAAGGAACAGCAAACAGCTCTCCAGTATACTCTGAGAACCAGGAGCACTTCAGAGGAACATGGGGATAATCTGAGAGATGCCAACACCGAGAATATTCTCTCATCCCCACAACACAGAAGTCCAACCAGACACATGCTGCTGGAGGACCCCTCCTCCCAGAACTAAGCCACACAGGTCCCCTATTGTGTCAGCTGAAAACTGAACTTTGCTAGGCAAACATACTCAGCTGTGTTCAAGAAATCTGTTTCTCTCACCACTTGAAAAATAACAGCATGCACACAGAAGAGACAGTTGCGGGGGGTAGGGGGCGGGGAGGGCTTTGGTGGTTTGTTTTTTAAGCAAAACCTTGATCAGTACTTCTATAGCAACTGTAATAAAAATAATAATAGCCAGCACTGATTGGATGCTTCTTACGTCCCTGGCTTCGGAGCTTTTAAGAGAAGAAAGGTGAGGGAGAGTCACCCCAGAGCATTTTTGATCAAACAGGGATTCAGTCTTGTGGTGTGCAAAGAGGAGGGAGGACTGGTCTTGTAATAATTACCGCAAATCGCAGGCTGGATCTATGACAGCTGGCAGAGGCAATCAGCAATAAAAGGGGGTGGGGGTGAGAAAATGAGGTTCTAATAAAACAAAACATTCTGAGACCTGCAGAAGGCCAGATGTGGCAATACCAGGTGGAAAGAGCCCCTTCCTCAAGACAGGGTAGCTATTAACTGATCCCTGGAATTTCACAGCCTTCCAAGTCCTTGGACAAAAGCAAGCTGGGAATGACACTAGTTTCCCTCTATTGTGTATGGGGGGTGGGGTGGGCAGGGAGAAACTCCCCCCTCTGAGAACCCAACACCCCTCTTGGCTGGTTCAAAATCCTTTTAATACTGCACTTCTCTATAGCTACAATTTGAGAGAAGGGCCCACTTAACTCATTTCTTCTTTACATCCGAGGCCTTCTCCACCGGAACCCCTTAAATAGTGTCATCTTCCCACCAAAGGCTTCATTGCCCAGCATAATCCTTCCTAAGCCAAAATCCAACGTATGGGGGAGGGCGTGGGGAGAGTGAGCGAGTAATTACATTTTGAGCAGTCAAACGCTGTGCCAACGCGAAAGGAAAGCACTAAATGCCTGAACAGCAAAAATGCAGTTTCAGCAAACACTTTTTGAAAGGGGGCCGGCAAAAACCTGGAGAAGAGGAAAAGGAAGGCACAAGACGGAGTCTGGGATGAGGGGAAGGCAGAGGGGGCCGACCTGTGCTCACACTTCAGGCGGACGCCCCCCATACCTGTCTTCCCGGCCCACGGGTGCTCGGCTCAGCCACACAGCGAAAGGTCCAGCGTGTGACTCAGTGGGAGAGTGAATCCTGCGGCCCCGCAAACTGGAAATGAGGCGGGGGGTGGAGAAGGAGGAGGCGGGGGATGTCCGCAGGCAGCCCACCCCTCCATTCCTACCACGCCTTCCCCCCTCCCCCCCAGCATCCCGCCCAAGGTGAGAGGCTGGTCTGGGTCCTCAAGCTGCCGCATCAGAGAATGGAGAAGAGGAAGCCGGAAAGAGGGGCGGCCCGGGCTCAAGGATGCAACTCGGGAAGGAGTGAACTGGGGCAGCGAGGAAGGTGTTGCGGCGCCCTTTCCCGGCCGCAGAACCCCGTCCCCGCGGGCCCAGCCCGCGTCCAGGACTCTGCGGCGCCGCAGCCCCCTTACCTCCAGGGTCCGGATCTCCTGCTGGGTTAGGTCGTTGGACACCGCGCACTTGGTGCGCAGCCCGCGCAGGCTGCCGATGGAGATGTCGATGAGCTTCTGGAGCTGCCTGCACTGCTGCAGCGCCCGGCTGGCCGCGGCCCCGGCGTCCCCATCCGCGGCCGCTGCGTCCCCCCCGCCGCCGCCCTCCTTCTTCTCCCCCATCGCCGCCGCGCGCAGAGCCGCTTTATCCATGCCTCGGCATCGGGGCCGCCGGGTGGCCGAGGCGGGGAGCCCGGGGGCGCGGGCGCCTCGGAAGGGAATTCTCGAACCGGGAAGGCTGGACAAGGGGCGCCCCTCAGCGCTGCCCAAGCCGGGACGCGAGGAGAGTTCGCCACCGAGCCTGCTCCTCCACCCGCCCAGCCGCGGCGGCAAAGCGAAAGCCGCGGCGATCCGACGGCTGCGGCTCCCGGAGCCTTTAACGGGCAGCGGGGGCCGGGTCTGGGCAGCGGGGCATGCTGGGACTTGTAGTCCGCGCCGCACCTGCCGCCCGGCCCGCGCTCGCTGTCGGCCCCCGCCCGCACTCCGGGCTCCGCACCGCTGTCCCGGTCCTTCTCTCCACGCCTGGCGCAGGCGGCGCGGGAGGACCAGTCTCGGCGCCCTGGGAGCGGCTGCTCCGCGCCGGCTCCTCCCCCGAGCGCCGGGAGCCAGGGGAGCCTTGTCTCTCCGCCCACCGCCGTGCCCGCAGCCTGGGGGCTTTCCGCGACGCCCGGATGGGGCGGGAGAGGGTACGCGTCCGGCAATTCCTCAGTTACAGCCGAGTCCTGGGGAATGAGAGCAGTGAGGTTCCAGAATTTCTATGTAGGTTTAGGGGCAGCCATCTAGTGAGAAGTGGCTTAACGCACCTTACTGTCGGTTGTCCACACCAAAGTGGATGCTCAGGCATGGAGAAAAGACGCAAGGGCTTTCTTCTGAACCCTGTGCACCCACCAAAATAGTGCCCCATCCAGGGATGGATTACCCAATAAGCAAGGTACGCACGGGCTTGCTTGTGTTTGCTTACTAAACTGTGTACTACAGATTAGTAAGTAAACACAAGCAAGCCCGTGCGTACCTTGCTTGCTGGTTAATCCATCCCTGGTCCCGTCCCTTCATTATCCCCAACCCAGCAGTCCAGCCTAGACGTGTGGGCTGGTACATTGATCTAATGCCATGGCGGTTGGGAGTGCTCTAGAGCAAACAGCCTGGGTTCAAATTCTGGCTCCACCACTTCCCAGCTGTGTTACCTTAGGCAAGTTACTTCACCGCTGAGTGTCTGAGTTCCCTCATCAGTAAAATAGGTTGATAATAAATAGTACCTGTCTCATAGGATTCTTTAGAAGAGTGAGTTAATGTATGTATAGCACCTATATTGATTACTGGCACATGTAGTCACTGGATGAATGTTAGCAATTGTTACTGTCTAACCTGAGATTTCCTAAGTATGGCCCCCACCAGCTCACTGGGCTCGGGAGAAATACTGCTATGGACTGGTAGTAGTCTGTTCCTAGGCACCCTAATCCAGCTTCCAAGCCCATCTGTTCACCCCCCTTTCCCACCTCCCACCAGTTCACCTTATGTGCTTTATTGCCTGGCTAAACTGAAAAATCAAAACTCTGATAAAAATCCCAGACATCCCTACTTCCAACATCTGCCAGCCAGAAGCAATGTTTCACCTCTGAATTCTTCTGTCTTGTAAGGTCCTTGACTGCCAAAGCCATTGGCTAATTTTATCCTTGTAGCCTCTCCACAGAGCCGAATGTGCATGTCACACAGCAGGGGCTCCATAAGGTTAGGCAACCACTTTGTGAGTTCTTTCAGGCAGGTTGGCCTTATGCTGTCTTTCTCCTAGTTCTCAGGCCAGCTCAGGCCTAGACAATTAGCAGGATGCTCACAGGGCTTTTTTTGAGGATGAGGATTGGGCAGGAGATGGGGTCCAAGCATTGGATTCCAGCCTGAGCTATAGGTACTAAAATAACTGGTACTGGGTGGCACTTTAATTAACCCACCTCCCCTCCCTTTTTTTTAATTATTCCTGTTAAGATATTACAGCTTGCTTTAATGTGGTTTAGAATTTCAAAATAAATTAAATGTCAAGTCTAAAAAACAAAGCTATGAGAAATTTTCAACGTGCTTTTGCGAACTAACCCCTTCCCTGATGATTTTCAGAAACACAAGAGGATTCCCCCCGTCCCCTGACCCCTAGCATTAAGAACCACTGATCTAATCCTCGTTCAATTTATATCAGGACTCCCTGCACTGCATCTCTGAATCCCCCCAACCCTGACTGTCACCTTAACCCTACCCCCTGGCAGCTGAGTAATAACTGCCCTGAAAAAGAAACTGTGTAACAGTACTTCTCAAACTTGAGCATGCATCAGAATCATCTGGAAGACTTATTAATACAAACATTGCTGGGCACAACCCCCAGAGTTTCCGATTCAGTAGGTCAAGGATGGCACCAGAGAATTTCCATTTCTAATAAGTTCCCAGATGATGCTGATGCTGCTGGCCTGATAACCACACTTTGAGAAGCATTGGAGGTCAGTGGACTCGTCCACAGGGCCCAACCACAGCTCCACCTGGCTGGCTCAGACTTCCATTTGTCCAGCAGCGATGGCTGTCCAGCTTGAGCTACTGACTCACTCCAACTCAGTTCACGAGAGATTTCCTGATAAGTGCCTATTTATTCATTTCTGTCAAGCCTGTAACTGCCAGTGGGCCCAGTCCACACATTCTCCCCTCAGGGCCACTTTATGTGGGAAGGCACATCACAGTCTAGTCTTGCTGGTGAGCCCATGGTGGTGGTGGTATGTGCAGAGTCAGGGCTGGAGATTAGACAGGCATCTGCTCCCTGGCAGCCCTCTTGCCAGGCTCTATGTAGTCCAGTCCCTCCTCTGCAGACCCAGATTTCTTCTGATTTGTTTAAAGCATCCATTCTGCCACAGCTTTCCTTCCCAATTCATCTCAGATAGACACAAGCCTTCTCGACTGCATTTGGGTGTCCTGTCAGCCATGAGGAGTCTGGGGGTGGTGCAAACCATTAACGCACTCGGCTGCTAGCCAAAAGGTTGGCAGTTTGAGTCCACTCAGAAGTGCCTTGGAAGAAAGGCCTGGCAATCTGCTTCTGAAAAATCAGCCATGGAAAACCCTGTGGAGCAAAGTTCTATTCTGACACAGATGGGGTCACCATGAGTCAGGATTGACTCAAAGGCAACTGCTTTTTGTCACCCACAGATTTACAGAACCACATCTTAGAGGTGGAGAAAATAAGGGTTTTGGAATAACCCCTTCATTTACCCTTTCACCATTCAATAAATAAGTAGTCATTAAGTACCTACTTCTGTGTCAGGCTCTGTTCTAGGTGCTGGGAAATAGTAGTGAACAAAACAAAGCTCCTTACCCTCAGGGAACTGCTATTCTAGTGAGGGAAGATGGACAATAAATAAATAGAACGCCCATTATCTCAGGTGGGAACAGGCGCAGTGCACAGCATAAGGCAGGGAAGGGGGGGTGGGAGTAGGGCGTCTGCAACTTTGCATAGGGCCATTCTACGGAGCTGGGCCCTCAGCTCTGTCTCTGAGGAGCTGTGACCTTGGGCAAGTCTCCTAATCCCAGAGCCCCACTCCTCAGCAAGATAATAATGCGTTGTACAGGGGAATGGAGATCATTGTGCAAAGTGCTGGTCACAAAGTAAATGTTCAACATACTTATTTTTATTTATTTGATAAACACTTGCTATGGACCAGGCAGCAGCCCTGGTGGCACGGCAGTTAAAGAGCTGGACTGCTAACCGAAAGGCAAGTGATTGAAACCTACCAGCCATACCGTGGGAGAAAGATGTGGCAGTCTGCTTCCATAAAGATTTACAGCCTTGGCTCGATGACAATGGGTTTGTTTTTTTGTTTCATTTTGTTTTATGAGCCAGGCAAGGAGCCCTGGTAGTGCATTGGTTAAGCGCTCAAAAGGTTGGCAGTTTGAATCCATCAGTGGCTCCATGGGAGAAAAGAACTGGCGATCTGCTCCCTTAGAGATTACAGCCTAGGAACCCTATGGGGTAGTACTACTCTATCATATAGGGTCACTATGAGTTGGAATCAACTTGACAGCACACAGCAACATGGACCAGGCACTGTTCCAAATGCCTCATTAACTCATTTAACTACTATTAGTTCCTTTCCTGCCCCACCTTCCAAAGTAAGTCTCTTCTACTCAGATGACTCCATCTATTTTGTGTTGATTCTTAGGTTCAGCTTCATCCCCAGATTCTTGAGGCTTTTTCTGTGGCACCCTCAATGGAGAGACTTTGCTTCTTCCCCCCTCCTTCCTCTCCACCTCGAGCACCACCATTAGTGACACTCAGCTTGGTCGCAGCTTGGACTCCCCCACCAGCATCTAAACACCACAGCAGCCATGCAAGTGTGTTCATGAATTTCCAATCTCTGTCAAGCTGATTCCAGCTCATGGTGACCCCAAGTGTGGCAGAGTAGAGCTGTGCTCCATAGGGTTTTCAGTGGCTGATTTTTTGGAAGTAGACAGGACTTTCTTCCTAAGTGCCTGCCACTGGGTAGACTCGAACCTCTAACCTTTCAGTTAGTAGCCAAGTGTGTTAAACATTTGCACCACCCAGGGGCTTCTATTCATGTATACATTTAACAAATATGAAAAGAGCACCTACCCAATGGACCAGGCTCTAGGATAGGGGTTTGGGGACACAACAGTGAAGGAAATCAAGTCTTAGCCCACATGAAACTTACATGAGGATGTAGAGAGGACATTAACAAGCCAACGCATATATTACTAAAATAAATTCATAGAGCGATAAGTGCTATAAAGAAGAAAAAAGCAAATAACTTCTAAAAAGCCCCTGGGGGTTGAGGTGCTTCTTTAGATGGAGTCATAAAGGAAGTATTCTCTGACAGATCATTTGAACTAAGATCTAAATTAAAAAAAGAAAAAAAAAAAAGACTGAGCCATGTGGGGCTCCAGGAGAGGGGCGGTCTAGGCAGTGGGAACACCACGTGCAAAGGCCCTGAGGCACGAAAAACTTGGCACGTTCCAAGAACAGAATGAAGGTCAGTACGGCTACAGCGTGATGAGAGAGAACAGGGTTGGAGATGACGTAGGAGAGCTGGGCGGGGCCAGGACATGGGAAGGAGTTTAGATTTTACTCTAAGTCTTTATAACTCCAAATGTGGTCCAACAGCAGCAGCAACTGCATCTCCTGGGAGCTTGTTAGAAATGCAGAGTCTTGGGCTCCACCGCAAAGCAGCTGAATTATATCCTGCATTTTTAGCAAGATCGCCACGTGACCCGAGTGCACCTTAATGTTTTTGGAGTGTAAGTCTTTCAGTAGAAGGGAGGCCACAGCAGTGTTC